AGCAGCATAACTATAGAGATAGCTCACCTAAGGACAATTTAGAGAAGCCTATTAAGATAAGTTAGCTTGATTTATGAATCAATTATTTTCATCCATGAGAAGCTAGAAGCTTTCCATCAATGAAACTAGAAGCCTTTTCTCTTTCTGGATGAGTCACACAGAAGAGATGTGATTCTCCTCCTTACGTGGAGCTAATAAAGTCGTTCCTGTAGCCTGGTTACTCACATTATTTGAATCCAGACTCTGTGAGCCTCCAAGGCTTTTATGAGGAGAAGATCAAGGATTTATAAACGGTACTTTGTGTTTCCAGGGAGATGAGGAAGTAAAGACCAATCAGAGGCCAGATTTCATCATGCTGTCCCTCCAGAGCCTAAACATGGAGGATCCGGTGCTATTTCCTGACAAATGGGAGGACAGGATGAGCCTGATGGGAAGGTAACACCGTTCATAAGTTTGTATACTCTTAAACCTTCCATATGACCTTACACCCACTGATTTTAATGTGATTCTGGATATAAAACATTTAAAGATAGATGGTTATTTTTCCACTTGTAATGTTTGATCCGGATCAGTAGCTGCTAGGTTAGCTGCGGAGGCAACGTCTGACCTTCAGGGATGAGTAGAGAGAACATAAACATGGAAGGACGTTCTCTGATGAGAGTAGACACCTTGTTCTTCATCACTGTGATGCTTCTGAGCAATCAGTCTGACCTCCTCCTCATCTCCTGGCAGTGACTTCCAGGTGAAGGAGGCGCTTCCTCCAGCTGGTCATGGTCGGCAGGACAAACCCAGTCCAGACAGCGGCTGCTCCATCAGATTCAGCTCCGCCGTGTCCAGCCCAGAGAGGACGACTGCAGACGGTACGACGGCTGGACCACCTGAGTCCGCTTCAACGGCTTCTGTTTTCATCCTCTTTCTTCCATCTTATCAGACGCGGAGCCTCTTAGTGTCGATGGGAACCCCTCAGAGTTGGAAGAGGAGGACGAAGAGGAGAGACCTCAGACGGTTCCTCAGACTCCAGACCAGGAGGCTTTCCTGAAGGAGCACTTTGTCGCCTTGGCTCAGCTGTCTGCCTCAGGTGTGTCCATCTCTCACACGTTACAACCTGTTTCCAAGCTGAAGAAGCTAACAGTGGTGCACCTCCTCACCTCTAGGACCTCCTCACCTCATGGCCTCTGTGTTGACAGGTCATCCCAGCATGGTCTACCACAGCTCCAACGAGAGCCTCAGCATCTCCTCCAGGTTCCTCCACCAGAGCTCACCTGGAAGGTAAAACTGAACCAACAGGAAGCTGTGGAGACGCACATAAGGCCACATTTTTCACTCCTTCATGTGTGTCCTCCTTAGTGGGACGGAGGCTCCGCCCTCTCAGCACACCCACCATAGAGCTAATGGAGAAGTGAAGGCCAGGCCGCCCGATTCAGATGATAGGAACCAGAGCAAAACTCAAGAAAAACAGCGAGAAGCCTCAATGACCCATCAAGACCAATCATGGCTCCGCCCTGCTCAGAACCAGGGTCCCGTCCAGGGGGAGGGAGCAGGAGCCACCAACCGGACCCACCTCACTCCTGACAACTCAGCACAGAACGTCCACAGCCCAGCGGTTCCCAGAGGTAACCAGGACCTGGAGGCCCCTAGACTCCAGAGGGCCCAGTCAGTGCACAGTCTGCAGGTCATCTCAGGTAAGGAGCAGAGTAGATCCGCTCCATCCACTGTCCGGGGACTCTGTCCTTAATGCTGCTCTGTTCTCCTGCTTCATCAGGAGACCCTGTAGATCCTCAGCTGGTCTCCAGGGAGGCCCCCCCTCAGCGTCCCACCTCTCTGTCCTCCCCAAAGCCCGGGTCCGTCTCTCAACGGGAGGGCGCCACGGCCACACAGAGGAAGTCCTCCTCACCCTCTCCAACAACATCAGCACCCCGTTCCTACATGAGTCCCACCGCCAGCTCCATGGCCAAGATGTCCCGCTCAGTCTCCATCGGGGAAAACCTGCACCTCTCTGAACCTGCTGATGACGCTGCGGCGCCGTCCTCCTCAGAGGCTGCTGCGGTAGCCCCCCCGCCCCATTATGCCGCCCCTGTTGTCGTATCCTCCTCCCTTTCGTTGTCTGGGGGAAATCACAATAACCGGGCAGCCCCTCCTCGAAGCCTACAGGCTCGTGTCCCAGGCAGTAGCCGGCCTCTTCCAGACAAGCTCTCCCTGGACTTCTTCTCCCCATCCTCCAGGTTTGGTGGCTTCTCCTCCTCAGAGCAGCCCCCCCTAGTCCCTGCCCCCCCGGTGAGTCTGCCCCAACAAGAGGAGGGGCATCTAATCCGTGCAGGTACCGGTGGAGACTTCATAGATGATCCAGGTTTGGCCTTCCTTCTCATCCTCTTTTTCTTCATCACTTCATCCTGTCATGTCTCTGGCTCCGCCCCTCCTCCTCCTCCTCTCCCTCTGCAGCGGGTGAGATGTGTTTCCTGTTGACCTCTTTGTGTTTCCCTTACTGTATCCCTTTTTCCTTTTCTTCTGCTGCCTCCGTCTCATCCTTGTGTGAAAGTGTTTCTCTGAAAAAATAAAGTTGGT